ATAACATATCTCATTATACTGGGAAAGCGTTCATCACTTTAATTGTATGCAATTCAACCGCCAAATATTTACTGTGACTATTTTTGAACGATCAACCATCAATATATTAAACACATTTTTAAAATTTTTAATTACATTTGTATTAATTATTACCAATATATTAGTATTATAAATAGGGGAATTTCAAAAATATAAAAACGTGTGGCTAAATCATTTGTTTTAGTAAAAATTTTATTTTTTTTTAATATTGTACCAAAAGCCATTTTATTTAGTGTTTTTTGATATAAATTAATACACTAACTTCGGTGTTAGGAAATAATTAATTAAAAATAATTATTAGAACGCATTGGTAATTAAATATTACCGATTTCGTTTATTTTCTACTCCAACATTATATTAAACGGTCCAGATCAACACGCCCGGTCGCCGGGTACTTACAATAATAATTTTTTACGTGGTATTTATTAAAGTTTTTTTTTTAGAAAAGTTTATAACTTTTATCATTTTTGTCAATGGCACCATGTTTTATTCCCGATTATATTTTTTATTGACAAAACCAAACGAGCAATAAAGTTTGATTAATGGTTAATCATTTTTTTTTAAATATGTTAAATTGTCAACTTTTAATACTAGAATAAAAACACTTTTATTTTCTAAAAATAATAAATGAGGTTATACAGGGTGATCCATATAACGTTAGACGTACATATTCTCGGAAAATAACTACAATTAAGTAGTTTTAAAATATTGTCATTTATGCTCTTGCACAATATTATAAAGTTACCAAATATCTATTAACTTGTGAAAATTAAATGATAACGTATATTATAATCAATTAACTTTTTTAATTAATAATAATTTGATGAAAATGTTGGCTGGTTGATGATCAGTTATGAATGAAGTAGTAATTACTTTTGAAGTTAAAAATTTAGGACGAGAGCGGTTGATTAACGCTCGCAAATAAAAATAATACCACACTTTATACTATTTCTTAAATTTTTCAACATAAACAATTTTAAAGTATTTACCCATAATTGGATTATAATCCTTACAGTCCTGTGACTACCCTACGTGTTGACTCTTTTTTTGAAAATTCAATAGTTTTATAAAAAATATTATGTAGCGTTTTAAGTAATTATGCATGTAGCGAAATGGTTTGAGAGTTGAGACCGTAAGTATATCATTGATGTCGATTGTTTTCTAATCTTATCGGATTCTACCGTTGGCCAAACACAAACTAATCGTTTTACTAAGCAAAAATATATTCTTATACATATCTTGTTAGCGACAGAAAGGGGTTTGACAACATAAACGACCCTCGTCTCAGAAGGGTCGTAAATTATTGATAAATTAATAATAAACAACGGTGTGTGGCGGCGGCATGGCAATGGGTACTAGCCAAATCACATACACGCACAACAGCAAACCTTGTGAAAGTTCTCTAATCGATATTTGAAATTTATAACCCCTCGGTCGCGATAATTTTTTTATTAATTTTTTTTTCGATGCAAAAGTCTTTTTTTATTTTTATTATTGTGATTATTATTCATCCGGCGGGGCACACACAAGTCACACCGCCGGATGACAAAGGGCTGTGGACACGCGCCTTTAAACCGTTTAACGGGACGCCGGTGGAGTCAATGACTCGGAATCAAGTGCGCCGCCAGCAATAAATAATAATATCTGCTGTTCTCGCACAACCTTTGAATCCCACCCACAAACCTTATGGGCACTGGGCTGGGGTTTGCACGTTTGTATGTGTGTGTGTGTGTGTAGGGGCGGACAGATAGCAAATAAACAACTCCGTCTCCGGAACTACAGGATGAGATGAGAATATTATGTGCATTTTTTCCCCCTTCTGTACAACATTCAATTCGATAGAGCCACGAGTGCACACCGCAAACCTTCCGAGGGAGGATGACAACTGGGGTCACTGATTTTGAAAAGATCACTAACGAGCCAATATGTCGCATTATCGATAGTCGTACATATGTATTATATGTATATATTGATATTATATTTATATCGCTTAAGATCAGCATTACGAATCGCCTTATTAAAATCCATTACTTAATTGGGTGAGTTGTTATTTGACATTGTGGTATAGTGTTTGTTCTCGGCTTTCATCGGTATAATTTTATTGGAATTTGTTTTTATTTCGAAAAAAATCGTACAAATTGACCGCCTAAAATGTGTTTTCAGCAAGGATGGAAGTATTTGATCAAGAACCGTTACTCGTCGTTAGTATAAGAATAATGGTCCCGAATTTCGTTAACTACACTGTATGATATTGTATTGTTATATTAAGACGGTCAATGAGTATTATTGTTATAATACGAAAATATCGGTAGGTATTAAAAATAAATATCATTTTCCAGCTCATAGTTTATCAACTAAATTAATGTGGAATTTTTTTTTAATTTTAATTTCATCCAATGGTGAATTTATACATTTAATGGGTAGCTTTATAATGTAACTTTAAAAAGACAAACGGTAACCTATATATTTGATTCGCATATTTAAAGTGGAATGTACGGTTTATAGATGGATTTCAGCTGTATTTGTTGTGTACATAGAAAATAATAAATGAGTTTTATATTATGTTGATTTTGAAAATAAGGGAATTTGAACGCAAAGGGTGGGACGATCAAAGAAAACAGGCAATGTGTATGCTTACATTGGGGTTGCTTAAGGATAATAGTTGTGTTTATGACAGGTATGCGCTTCTCCCTCTCCCCCATCGAAAACATACACAGCTTCCACTTCAGATCACCGCACCATCTCAACTCATCAGACATACAACTCCGGTACAGACGAGCGTACGCTAGGTATATTTATATTTTACAATTTGGACCAATGTCTTTTACACAGGTGGCTTCATATCAGAGATAATTTTGAGATATATCAGATTACATATAATATATTTGAATATGAAATACATAGAAATATTATATGGTTCGGTTAACACATAAGATATGTTATAATTTGTGAGTAAAAAGACAATAGTATAAAATTGTCATTCTTATTGTATTGTAAAATTATATTTCTAGTATTAAAAACCTGACACATAGTTATGATTATGTTAATAATAGTTTTATGTGTTATTTATAAGTCATAGGTATGAGTGATAAAACATCACGTTCATCCCAGTGTAAGTTTTTTAACATTTTAACATTGTTTTTTGGTCATAGTTGTTAATAATTGAATACTTTTACAGCATTTATTTAATTATATTATTTTAAAGTAACACATTAATTGATCAATCAAATTTTCAGATCCGATGTTCTAAAACTACACATAGAAAAAAACAATTATAAACTGATTCCTTGATTTTTTTTAAATTTGAACTGTAGATTTAAACATTTATATATAAAGACCCCGCCCCCCTCAACAAACTTAAAACCATTTTAAGCTTTCCGCACTATACAGCGTCATTTCTGTATAATTCCTGATCTGTATAGACTTGCTACACGAATAAACCATTTTAGTAGTTAAGTGATCGTAGGTCCAGACACAAAAAGTATTATAATATAGTTGAAATATTGACTAAATATAAATAATAGTTAACAGAATCAATTTATTGTTTACATTTTTAGCTGAGACTTTTTTAGAGCATCTTATTTAACGAGTCTGGTGTATACTTTCAATGAGCATGCACAGAAATTATATTTAAAATCTATGGTTAATATTTTTTATCAGACAACCAGAGATTCTATTTAATACATTTGTTGATACAGAAATCGTTGTAAAGTTCATTTCATTATTACTAGTATTCTTTTATTAAAGTTTTACTTTATATTTTAGTTTTTGTTAATGTATAAAATACAAATTAAACTATAAAACTAAATTTGTAACCTTTGACACTTAGAACAAAAAAATAATGCTGTAAATATTAGTAACAGAATGGAGAAGGTTGACTGTCGGCGGACTTAAGTGAAAGTGATCCAGATAAGTAAGGTCGTAGATAAAAACGCAGTACTGTGTAAACTAGTACAAAACTTAAATTACAACTATATTATTTTAATCGTACTATATTTCATATAGGCTTTTCCGGTGGTTCCAAACCATTGATGGATTTGTAGAACAATTTCTAGTGAAACGATCACAATTTTTTTTTCAGGGTCCTCTAAATTATACCTGCAAAGCTTATACCCAGCACTAGGCAAACCTAATATTTAAATAGGTATTCGTGTGTAGCAATTATGTTTGGAAAGCCGAACCCTTGAAGTATGTGTAAGAATGAATTTTTTCGGGAGAACTGTTTTCCCGTTCGATGTATAATAAAATATTTGGTTTAGCGTTATCCTGTCACACACACACACAAACAATTTCGGAGTTAACCGATAATTATTGTACTTAGGGTGGGTCGGCCACTCTACGGACCACGACCACGGCAGCTCCCTTTTTTTTCTTCTATACATGGTGGTGGTACACTGCTCTTACCCCGAACACGCCCAAAGAACCAGTGAAACTTTATACAATACAGATTACACGTCACAGTTATGCCCATGGTATATTAAGACGGTGACGTAACTACTTATTATGTACAATTTATTTTTTTGTTCATCTCCACGAAAATCCTAACGGTTTTCACAAATAATATAATGCATAAACTATTTGGGATCGCAATACCTACAGTGTATTTTAGCCCAAGACACGTCGTTTAAACGTCTGAGGCAGGGTTGAAAATCCAATAATAATATATAAATCTATGATTTATACTGTAAATCGCAAAACCGTCGGTTACATTAGTTGTATATGTATTGCTCACATAAAAACATACCAGTTTGTAAAATGTATTCAGCACACTTTTTGAGTTTTATCATCTAAGTTTCTTCCAATTATTGTAGTCGCGACCAGTCTTGGCTGTTAAATCCCATTTCTTTTTACAAATTTAAAGTATAAGAAAACGATTTTGGTCATGGATGTTATTGTAGTAGTTGACTAAAGAAGAAAATTATCTTTGGCAATCTCAAAAAAAAAAAAAAAAATGCAAACAATTATAAAAGGCTTAAATGTATTAAAAACATGTGTGACTTAAAACAATAATGTGTACAGTTATCCTAATTAAATCTAATTTTGTCCTGTTAATCAATAATTATCTTCGTTAATTCGAGATGTAGTTAGTACGAGTGCTGTTTTAGGTCTCATCGTGATGTATTCAGAGTGTAATAGATTTCTAGAAACAAGTGTAAAAGCAATATTATGTTAGTTCAAAATTGTAAAAAAAAAATAATCATAAAGTATCATTTTAGTATTATAGAATTTGTTTTTACCCTGTGACGTAACCAGAGTTAATACTTGATATTTTGACTTTCAAAATGTCCGGCAACGTGTTTCTAGCGTTCAGTAAATTTATAGTTTCCATTTCACTACCAAGATTAATAATGACAAAGTACGTTGGATGATCATAATAACTCCTAAAATGTAAAGTAAGTTTTATTTACTTATATTTACTAAAGATAAATTAAAAATAATTTTTTTAATAATATATATATATATATATATATATATTTTTTTTTTTTATATTTCATACGTGAACAAATAAAAATATTTTTCGGATAAATTGCCTACTCAAACTTTTAAAAATGCTAGTGTAAAAGCCCTTTAACAGGGAAATTTGTTACCAACCTTGAAAAGCCGAACACCCATTTTGAGAACGCATACACATGTAAATCTCCTCGAACAAACGTAGGGCTCTGTCTTAACCGAGCAAGCTGCTTGTATGTCTTTAAATGACTCTTAAATTTAGTTTGTGCCATCATATTATCTCGCCAGTATCTGGGATTAATGGGTAGCCAAACTTTTGATCCATTAGAAAAGCCTGTTGACATTTAAATAAATTATAAATATGTACTTATAATTATTGTATAATTTCTCTGGAAAATCTCATAATCGTCTCTAGCTTTACACTATTATGTCTACCTGCATTTATGGAATCGTCCCAGGGAAATGGACTCCTTGCTGGATCTCTACTAAATTTCTCATAACGTCTGGGCCCAACGTTTAATCCAGCAGTATCAATTGTTTGATCCCATCGAACGTAAGTGTCTTCTACGCCAAGTTCGTCGGCATAGTACGTGACCGCGGTACCTGGCAAAAGCAGTTGTATCATATGAAGTCCGTCCACAAGCATTGGATCTAGTCTCGACGCTATTCTACTGTTATCGTGATTTCCTAGCTGTGTGATCATAATGAAATAACTTATTTTGAATTCGATACTGTTTATCATAAATAAAAGCATATTAACGTACCACCCAGTTTGGCCACATGCCTTCGGGCATGTTGCGTATCCAAGATACGACCACATCTCTTAAGTCGTGCGCGTTGGACTGATGGTTAAACTTCCCAATAAATTGGAAGTTAAACGGGAAGTGCGCGGCCGGTGCAGATGGAGTACCGTAGTACATCATAGTTTTGTCAAATGGCGAGTAACATTCCACCATGATGAACCTACGGGAATAAACGAAATTATATTTAAGACTACCTATTTATTAAGCACTTCAATAAGAGTGATTTTTTTAAAAATCTTAAGGTAACGTTGAATTTGACAATTTATTAGTATGGTTTTTTTTAGTGGTTTATTACTCGTATATTTTGTATTGCTGGTTAATTTTTTGCTTGTTACACCATCACCGCGTTTTTCGTTAATTTTTAACCATAACATAGCTACTTCGTAGAGCAAGAACACCCGTTATTAAAAGGAAAGATGATGACATTTCGGAGGCATCTTATATATGTGGCTTAATATGAGGGTAACGTTAAAAAAAAAAAATTGTTTAATTTTTCAATACAGCAATAACTCTTGGCCTATATGAAGTATTTTTAAAGACGGCTACGGCATTCCCTCCAAAATGTCATCATCTTTCGATTTTATTCTAAATATTTTTACTCTAAATCACAAAACCGAGTAAAACGCATTTTTCCTAGTCTAGTTTTACACTAGGAAATTGAGCGCATAACGTTATCTGAAACGTTAAGTTGAAAATATAATAACTATTATTTCATAAAAAATGTACTGTTTACTTAGTGAACGGTTCTTGTTTAATTTCAGCATATTTTTCCAAATACTCTCGCCAGACACGGACCATATCGTATGTTTCTGGTTGATCGAGCGTATGAATGTGATTCAGCGAATCGTAATCAGTGTCTTCGTAATCCGGTTTGCCGGACTTTGGTTCATCGAGCAAGTCTTCTCTTTCGAATAAATAGTTAGTGGCATCGAATCGGAATCCATCTACACCGCGACCAAGCCAGAACGACAATGTATTCTAAAAACCAATGAAATCGTTCAAAACCCGACTTTTCACTTCCAAAGACATTATTTCAGACCTTTATATCTTCCACGACCGTTGGACACCTATAGTTCAAATCTGGTTGTTTTACAAGGAATTGATGGAGATAGTATTGTTGACGTTCCTCGTTCCATTCCCAGGCTGAGCCACTATTGAATACTGATAACTAAAAGATTTTTTTTATTAAACATTACATGTTAAACAGTATTCGCATTTTTTATTGCGAAGTCCATTCACAGTATAGCTTTATAAGAATGTCGAACGAATTAATTAGTTGCAATTTTGTAGTGTTTTTTTTTGAAAAAGTTTGTATTTATGTTCTAGTAGAATATTAGACAATGTTCAAATTTTTATCTTTTTTAATATTTGCTAGAGCTTTATCAACTTTTGAAACTAAATGATAACATATAGATTTGAATGAATTTTTAAATTGAGAAAAATTTACTGTAACGTTTTACTGGTCGATTACCAACTTTGAATAATTATGTTTAAAGTTATTAACGTTTAGAATAGGAGGTGGAGGGCGGTTGAGCGATGTAAGCAAATACAAATAACTCTACACACCACCCCTCCTCCCGTCTTAAATTTTAAACTTTGATAACTTTAAAACCATTTATTCAAAAATGGTTATCAGTCAATAAACATTTTTAGCAAATTATTCTTAATTAATTCTTATAATTTTAACTAATTAATATGGTGTTACCCAATTGTTAGGAGGGTGCCTCTCACCGTCTTTGATTACAGGGTCTTTCCAAACATAAAAATCTGTGAATGGCGCGATTTTCTTGACTGATTTAATGAACCATTCGTGTTCATCGCTCGTGTGATTTGGTACGAAATCCAAAATTACTTTTATCCCTAATAATTAATTAAAGCTGTTACAACAAAATCGGTAACACTAGTCATGTAACAGCGATGTTATAAATACTTACCAGCTTTATGGAACTCGATCAGTAAACGATCAAAGTCCGCCAGTGAGCCGTAAGATTTATCGATCTCTTTGTAGTTTGATATATCATAACCAAAATCTAGTTGCGGAGATTGGAATATTGGAGATAGCCAAATAGCACCAACTCCTAAATTTTTAAAGTAGTCTGTTTTTTGTGTCAATCCTGAAATTATTAATGGGTAGTATTAATTTATGTATAAATTTTAAATATCGGTCATGTTTTGATGTGATAATGATGAGTTATAAAATTGAAATCTAAAACGCTAAATAATCATTAAAATTACAATTTATAGGCATGTTTTAAAATTTTAAATAGTTATAAAAATATTTTTAATAAGTTAGATTTATTCGTTCAATACTAACTATGTGGACATATTTTCATTAAAAATGCATATTTTCAAGAATTAAAAATATTAGAATTTATAATTTTTTCTTATCTAAGATTTTAACGTTCATTTTCTAGTAAGTACACATATGTTAATATTTATTTATTTACTAATATTTGACAAAATCTCAATATAATTTATAGTATATTATATTTAAAATTATATGCATAATAATAAAATGTTATCAATGATAGACCAGAGCGCGACCTTACAGACAGCGTATCAGAGAGATAGATGGAGAGAGATTTTGATAGTAACGCTAGTCCTGAATTGGGGACCGTTTAGCTGATGAAGAAGAAGATAACAATGAAATAAAAAATGTTTGTCACGGTGAGTTGTAAAGTAAATTGAAGGAGAAAGAAGTACAAAAAATTGAGTAAAGTTTCTGGGCGACTGAGAAGAAATTCTGAAATCTTAGTATACAAAGAAATTAATCATTTTTTGTGTATAATATTATTTTGTTAATTACGTTAATATTATATTTTATTATTTGAACGTTAAGGGGATTGCATGCGGTTGGTTCTTAAGGAATTTTGTATAGGCAATATTTAAGAAAAAAGAGATTTTAATAAATTTCGATCATGTCAATTAATTTACCGGTTAATTTGTATTAGCATCATTTTAGTTAATATAACATACATTTGTTGTTCCATCGCATAGACTGAACTAGTAATCCGATAACTATCTGATTACTAGTTCATAAGTAATCTGAAAACATATTTGAGTTTGTCATGAAGCTTACTTATGATCGGTCAGGGTACTTTTTTGATACCTTATTCCTACTATGTATAAAACACGTATGAACATTATATAAAATTTCAAATTTAAAAATCAAAAATTGAAAAAAGTACCCTGACCGATCATAAGTAAACTTCATGGCAAATTAAAGTCTGTTTTTAGATTACTTATCGGATCACTGGTTCGGTCTGTGCAATGGAATAAAAATGATGTGTTTTGACTGAAAAAACCGACCGCATGCAATCCCCTTAATAATGTTGATATTTTATTTATACATAAATTTGCTAACTAAGTAGTTATTTATATTGGCCATAAATTGACTGACGATCAATTGTTTATGAACAATTTAACGTCATCTAAATTTTATATTAATGAGATTAGTTGAAGTTTGTTCATATATTCCAATATGACACAATCATAATACTCGCCAATTAAATCGCCAATCCCATCTCCATTACTGTCTTTGAATGATCTCACGTACACTTGATAAATGATACTTGTTTGCCACCAATCCGGAACGTATGTACTATTAAGACCTTTGCTAATTATCTCTGAATTTACAGAATAATAGGAAATTAAAAGTCCTAAGCATATAGTTGCTTTGATCATAGTGAATATTAAACAGTATTTTTAGTTATTAATTATTATACAGTTAATACAATTTTTTTAGAGTCTATAGAATTAATGAACTGCTATTGCGATATAAGCTTACTGAATATTAAAATATGTTTTTGAAGTATTTATACATTCTGGTTGAAATACAAACTACTCCAATAGCAGGTATTGTTTTTTAAGCAAAGATAATCTACTTTGAAGTGGTTTACGGCATTTCTCTTAAGTAAACTAATCACGCTACTTGACAATGTATGTTGACGTAATTGTTCGAAAACTGTTTTTTATTTTTAAATGTAAACTCTTTCTATAAAATTCCAATCCAAATAGTTTTTTTTTCTGATAGAAATTTGAGAATGAAAATGTATTTTCATGATAATTTGTATTATTAATATTATCATATAATAATATGGTTCTAGAACCAGAATAATACGTATGTAAGATTATTTAAAACAAAATACATGTCAAATAAGGAAGAAAATTATAAAGAAAAGCATACGTCTCGTGGAATGAAGCATTTTGTGATATTTATCAAATTACAAATAAACGAGGGTTGAAAAATATATAATTTTATCTGGAAAAGTATTAGGTAAAACAAAAATACAACCTCGTTTATAACCTTGATAGTCCTAATAGATAAAACTGAAGATGAAGACGTTATATAATATTTGTATGGCTGCAAGTGTAGCTGGAGATTATCTGGTAAAGCCGGTTTCGTTAATAAGAAAAGCTACTGCAGCAATATATTATTTAAATACTGTACATGTTAATTGAGTTGAAACTATTTTTTTTTTAGGATTATAAAACCAATCATTTTGAAAAAAGTTGAAGAATAAAATCGAAAATTTCGAGTATTCCCTAATTATGATACCAACTATCTAAAGTATTATAATCACATAAATATAATGTAAGTTGTAATAAGTAATTTAAGAAGTAAAATTCATTGAATAACATCTTAATATCTAATTTCAATTAAAATATACATACGACTTACACAATCTTATAGATCATAAATCATTGATACTGTTTATAAAATTTCATATGAGAACTTTATGATCTTTCCAGTAAAGACTCCTACCAATAAGAATGTAACTGCACAAAAATATAATTTTATCATGTTTTATTTACTTTACTGTTTAGAAGTATTTTACAAATTTAAAAAATATACATACAAATATACAAATACATATTTGGAAAAATATTGTACTAATTTTTTTTATTTTTCTATTATTTTTAAAAATAATATCTAAAAGTTAGAAGTAGTTCCAATGTTTAAGTAAAAGATAGAAATATAAAGTAATAGTATAAGCTACTACTTTACTAAATATTTTTAGTGTCAAGTTACTAATAAGTTAGTACAATGAACACTATACAAAATAAACAAATATATAGGTACTAAATAATATTAACCCTTTCTTTATTAGACTATTTTCTGTGACTGATTATAAATCGGTAATCCTATTGTACTAATTTATTCCAAACAACCGTTTTTATGTCCATTTTGATCTACTTCCATTGATATTTAAGTCCTTTACTCATTGTCCAAGACTTACTTTAAAGTATAATTTTTTACTTTAAAAATATTTTATTTAATAAGATAATAATAATGGCATTATTTAGACAAACGAAGTTTGAGCAGTCGCTACATTTTTGTTCTAATTATGTAATCAAATGGGCCGCAATAAAAACATATCCCTGACCTCACTATTCTGTTTTTCCACTGACCAATTCACTTATACATAATATCCATTATTACTGCTTCTTTAAAATATTAATTTCAAAAGAAGTACATCAATAATGAGAAAAAAACAAAGAGAAATAAAAAACTAAAACGATATGTGAAATAATATTATATAATTTAATATACTTTTATCGTATTAAGAACATATTAACCATAAGAACATATTATTATAGTTATTTAAAAATTATCAGCATCTTCATTATTTCTAGACGTGGTCAAGACGAGTGCAGCCTTTGGTCTTAAAATAATGTTTTCGGTTCGTACCAAATTTCTAAAAATGTATTTACAAACTCTATTAATATTATCGAATAAATAGCATAGATGTTTTTAATATGAGTTACTAATAAACTTACCCTGTGACAAGACCTGAGTTAACACTTGAAACTTTGACCTTTAAAATGTGTGGTAAAGTATATCTAGCATTTAAAAGATTAACTCTTTCCGTCTCACTACCCAAATTGATAACAACAAAGTATGTTGGATGGTCTAAATAACTCCTATAAAAGTAATATTAGATTTAAATTACAATCCTGAATCAGATGTAGAATATTTTTTTTATGACGACAACATCTGGTATAGTATAACACTAAACTTACCTTGAAAAACCAAGCACCCATTTTGATAAAATGAACACATTTAAGTCTCCGTACATTATTGCTGGGCTTTTTCTTAAACTCACCAATTGTTTGTAAGTTCTCAAGTGGCTCTTATATTTTGTTTGTTGTTTCATGTTTTCCCTCCAAAACTTAGGATTGATGGGAAGCCAAGGTTTTGGACCGTCGGAAAAACCTATTGAAAATGTATTAGGGTATTAGGCATTCACAAAAAATTATAATAGAAGTATTACAAATATTAATACACTTCTGTTTATACCTGCATTCAAGGAATCGTCCCATGGAAATGGACTCCTCTCTGGATCTCTACTAAACTTTTCATAACGTCTGGGCCCAACGTTCAATCCAGCATTATCAATTGTTTGATCCCATCTAATGTAAGTGTCCTCAATGCCAAGTTCGTCGGCGTTATAGGTGACTGTAGTACCTGGCAAAAGCATTTGTACCATATGAACTCCATCAACAAGCATTGGATCTAGTCTCGACGCTATTCTACTATTATCATGATTTCCAATCTAAAAGATAGTGGAAGGGTAAAGAAAATGGTTGACAAATAAACCAATATTGTAATTACTTACTACCCAGTTAGGCCATTTTCCACTAGGTATATTAGTTAGCCAAGACGCAATAACATTTCTCATTTGCTTAGCGTCCGATTGACGATTGAAATCTTTAATGAAAAAGAAATTAAATGGAAAATGCGCTCCTAGTGCTGTATCATTACCGTAGTATTGCATGGTTTTATCCACAGGAGAGTAACATTCTACCATAAACATTCTGAAACGTGTGTGAAAAACTTTTCATATATATTCGGAGGCTAATTGTTTCCCTTATTATAATTCTTATTGGTGAGAGTAGCAAAAATTCTTTTGAAAAAAGAATCCTTTTGATTTTAAACAATGATGTTTGTTTGTATATTTAATGTATGTGTTTATATAAATAATTGTCTTTGCCTGGTTGTATCGTTTTCGCTCTTCTTATAACTGTCTATAACTTCTCTCCATTGGTGAACCATTTCATACGTTTCCGGTTGATCTAAAGTATATATATGATTTAAAAAATCATAGTCTTTAGGTCCGCTTTCAGGATCACCAGACTCTGGTTCGTCGACTAAATCTGCTCTTTCAAATAAAGCGTTAACTGCGTCAAATCGGAAACCGTCCACACCACGGTCCAGCCAAAAGCGCAAAACGTTCTAAAAGAATGATTCTTTTAAATAACACAACATTTATAGATCATAAAACAACATTTTCAGATATCGTGTTAAAGTATTTTCTTGGAATGTATTATTGGAAAATATTATTTTTGTACCTTCATTTCTTCTACTAGCATTGGAGATCTATAATTAAAGTCTGGTTGTTCAACTAAGAACTGATGAAAATAATATTGGTTACGTTCTTCATTCCACTCCCATGCAGTACCACTGTTGAATACTGATAACTAAAACAATAATAGTAAATTTTAATTTTATTAATCCTTAATGATACTTATTTTTACAAATTATTTTGAGTTAATCAATAAACACTTATAAGTATGTACAATTAAGTTTTATAGAATGATGTTTTACTATACATTGTCTGGGTCGAAAATAAATAATACGAGATTCAATGAAACTTCAGGAAATTTCATAATTTCATGATGCAGTGTTTTATCATTGAATTGAATGTCTTTAAATAATTTGAAAAAATATACATAAATAACCATAGTTATAAGGGCGCTTAAGTGTGTTGATAAAAACAAATTGTTAATGTATGGGTAATAAAAAAAATTCATAATGTTTTTTACCCAATTATTAGGAGGTTTTCTTCCTTCTTTTGTGATAACTGGATCTTCCCAAACATAGTAGTCTGTGAATGGTGGAATTCTTTTCACGGATTTCAAAAACCATTCATGCAAATGGCTCGAGTGATTTGGCACAAAATCCAATAAAACTTTTATTCCTAAGATTACATTTCTTATATAGCTATAATAACACATAGTATTAATATTATGAAGAATAAATAAAAAAGTAAGCATTGGTATTCTGAAACTTGTGTAAGTATTAGGAATCATTAACTAAAAAACTGTTAATTATAGTTATTTAACTACGACCATACTAAAGTGGATGCAGATTTATTTGTATACTTTTTAGGAAACATTTAAATTTACTTTTTAATAAACAGCGTAATTTTAACACTTTGATCTGGCCTAAATTAAACTCAACAAGAATAATCTACTTATGTAAAGGTAACTAATTTATTTATTTACTTATTGTTTTATTAAATTAATACTTGTTATAGATACTAAAATAATTATGCTTACCGGCTTTATGATACGTATCAAGCAAGCGATCAAAATCTGCTAAAGTCCCATAGTCTTTATCAATTTGCCTATAATTTGATATGTCATAACCAAAGTCATACTGTGGTGATTCGAATATCGGAGAAAGCCAAATTGCACCAATACCTAAATCTTTTAAGTAGTCTACTTTTTGAGTAACTCCTAAAAAAATGTATTTAATTATATCACTTAAATTCTTTATAATTAAATTAATAGTTCACCGATACGACATCGCCTAACATTGATTATATTTTAAACTCTGTACATTTTTAATAAATTTTTGTATTAAATAAATAAACAATATGACCAAATAATACTATTAATAGATAAAAACAAACAAATACACCATTTTCATTTTGTCGAAGACCATCTCATATTGTAAGTTATGGCGATGCCGTATAATATATTTTTTAAACTACATAATAATTGGATGCACACACGCGTTCGATGTATCAAAAATAATTCATTGGTAGTTTAAAAAAAAAATTGAATTTGTTATCCTGTATATTTGTAAGTGATTTTTGTATGTGGCCTATTATATTAGAATAGAATATTGACCGCAGGTCAGTACAAACCGTTTAAATCACCAATGCCGTCACTGTTGGTATCTTTGAATGACCTCACATAAATCTGATAAATAATGCCGGTTTGCCACCAATCCAGTTCGTTTGTACTGTTGTAGGTCCTATAGATATTCTCGGAATATACAAAATTTTGGGTGAGTGTCAACCCAAAGTACAAAAAAATACGAATCATTTTAGTATAAAGTCATGCAATATAATATATTATATTATATCACACATGTTATAAGCGATAGAATTTTAATTGAAAACTGCTAAGTTTGTATAATAACGTAACTTTTTATACTCCTTTTCTGTCATCCCGATGTTTTTTTATACTAAAATCTTAAACCTAGCTTATTGTCAAATATAATTTATTACTGTAATAAAATAGTTTATAACAATTGTTTTAGGATTAAGTAGATAAGATAGTAAGATATTAGTTATTCTAATGTTTAACTGGAAAACGAAAACAGTCGTTTGGTGTTGTTGACAAAACGTCAGTTCTAATAAAAAAGACAATTAAATTGGATTACCAGATATAATTATATAACAGACAGAATTCTTTGTGTTGAAACCATCACTCCAGTTTTTTATTTTAATAAAGCACACAATTTTAATGCATTACCAACAAATTTTGTTGAAGAATACAATGAAATCGTTGACAATGGTCACTAAATTGAACTATGTCCAGAAACTACTAAGTTGTCACCTATCCATGAACGAAATCTCTTTTCATCATTTAACAGTGGTAAGTAGAGAAAGGGATATAACTTATAAGTATGTAATCCAGCAATATTTGTCTTAAACTATACTGCCGCATTACAAAGAAATGGTATACATACAATACCTTTAAAACTAGGTTTATTACAGATTATAGCCGAGTAATTTTTTTTTCTTTAACTAAAGAAGATACGGTTGCTTGAAAAAACAATATGTTTTTTGCACCACTCTGTATTTATTTTATATTTTTTTTTGCGGTTAATAAGGCGGAAGACGCAAAAATAAGAAAAATTCAGTCGTCATCCAATTAAGTAAACCGCTGTAGTTTTATTCAATATTATATAATCTATAATTCATACATTAATTGTTTCCCACTTAGTTTATTTAGCTATCTAGTTATAAATCATCTCTTTTAAATACTATATTTATTATATTCCATTTTTTTTATCTTGCATTTGTCTAGCATATATGTTTACTTAAAATTATAATGTTATATTTAAAATTGAAAAACTGATTTTTGCATATTTGTGAACATATATGGTACATGAACCTCAACTTTGTTATATTTTTTCTTATAATGGTTCATAACAATATTTAAAAAAAAATCTTGTATACCTTAATGATTTTTTATTATGCTCAATTGTATCTTATCAATTCATTATCTTTTAAATACTGTATAATAAAAATGTCTACAATTTAATAATAAACTATAAATGTTTCTTTTTAGGTTTTTAGTTAAAAAATTGCTCTAAAATGTGATTCTCGGTGGTTAATTTTTAAAACTTTTCCGGAGAAGAATCACTACACCCTCTTTTTATTGGGGGGTTTCCAACCTACCAGTAGGGCCCTTATAACGAGTTGAGCTTAATAGTCTATAGTTCTTAAATACGGTCCTTAGGATTATTCAAGATTTGTGTGATCGTGCGTTTAGCTATTGGTTCTAAATAAGAAATAAAAAAACATTTTATTAAAATGTATTTGACTGCACAAGTCAACACAAATTAATGCCTATGGGGATTTCACTATATAAGAAATCAAGATAAAGTTAATTTAACTACTTTTGATAATGTAATAATATTATATGCGTTTATAAATAAATATATAATCATATTGGATTTCTTTTAACATGTTTCACGTTCTAAGACGACTTTTGTAATTGCATGTGTGCAACATTTCGGCGAACGCCAGATGCCTAATTTTTTTTTAAATCTGAAGTGTACCATAATAATATAATGTAGATAGATAAAAAAACTGATGTCGTTAATTGAAACAGTAGTAACGTCAATCCTCTTTGATTTTTGTTCACTTTATTTGAATAATGTATACTTTATTCGTGAAATTATTCACAGTTTCCATCTATATTATATATATTGATCATAGCGAATTGTTGACAAGAAGAGGACATCAGCCTCAAAAAAACAGTAATGAATTTTACTTAGTTTTTATTGCGTATTGGGATGTAATGCTTCACTATCTAATATATACAACCAAACTATTTTCTAGCCAAAACATTTGTCTTTTTATACTTCTAAAAGATAATGTGACACTAATATATTTGTTGTACTGCTTATTCAGCGATACTTTTACCAGAATCTTATTGAAAGCCTCTAAAATTATTAATCAAATTATAACACATAATACATTAAAAAACATACAACAACCTAACCTAACCGAATTACGTAAATAATGTAGGAGCCGTTGCAAATTGCACACATTAGCTGTTAAGCTCATGTTAGAGTATTCAGTAATCCTACAAATGATTAATCCTGTAATAAGATTAGCCTTTGATAAATATTAAATGCAGATAAAGAATACATCTCAATGAAGATACAAACAAGTGCAAAACTATTGTACTTCTACTTTACACGAAGAGCAATTCAAATATCAAAATATAATTAATAAATGTTTTTAATAATTTGACAAAAACTTTAATCCTAGATATCATATTATTAATTATTATAATATTATTTATGAATTTCTACACAACATTTTTTAAAAACATCCAAATATTTTTATACTTTATTATAAAATAATTTGTACACTTTTACTATGGTAATTATAGTTAAATGGAATAAGGAAGTATTGGATATAAATAATAACAATACAATTTGTTGTCTATCTTCAATAGCCGCTTTACCATTCAAAATAAGGATTAATTTTATGATGTTTGATGTTATTAGTTGCGAGTTTCATCATTTACTAAATATAAGTTGATCAACCTACAAAATTCATTAATTCTGTATTTATTTTTTTTAAGAATAATAAATAAAATGTTGTAAACACGCTTACTAAAACAAAATAACAACTATTTTTATAAAATACAGATTATAAATATAATATACAAATGTTTGTTAGGGAAATCTGTACAACAAAAACAATTGTTGGCTATAGGGATTTCTTTATAATTATAATAATTTCTATTATCTAGAATAATTGTTTTAATACACATAACGTAATCATTTTCAGTCAAATCATAAGCGGTTGTGTCATGTCTCGTCAAACAACAAGACAATATTACACTTTGAATTTTCAAATGTAGGGCTTAATGTATGAGGGATCATTAAATACGATCTAGCACACTAATTTTTAAGTACTACATAACAGTCTTATAGAATTTTATAGATAAACTATCTTGTTTACACGTGTAAGACCTCTTGAATTAACGTGAACCGATTTGGCATTTTCACCATGTTATGTTTTGACGTTTTCATTGACGGATATTGTGGGCAGCTTGGTGTGATAAGCACTAGCTAGGTAGCTAAGTAATTATTTGTTTTTCACATTTTTTATCAGTTAACAGTACTTAGTGATGTATACAACAATTTTTTAATAACAACTTGATACAGGCTATCAAAAAAAATAAAATCAATATGCTACGTTTCTACGACGGGCTGTACGATATATGATTAAAACATAATAATTATGAAAACAAGTCTACCACAAAAATTGAATTATAGACTAATGGAGTATGTATTCAACTTTGAGAGTGACTTTGAAGCTGATGTTATAATATGATGACCAAACGAACACATAATCAATCTAAGATTCGATCTGTGATCAGATACAACCTTATCAATAACTAAAAAGATTTTCCTTTTTGAAAAGCTGTCTTCGGAAATCATATTCCTTAAAATGTCTGTTGTGTTTTTTTTATCGAAACAATAAAATAAATTTAGTCTATAGTTAAAAAAAAATATTTTATCAAACTTAATAACATAACAATAATTTCCCGAAGAGTTACTAAAAAGGTCAAATTCTCGTGGGACACTCATTCAGATCATTAATATGCATAATAGTTTGTAAACACTTTACTCTATAATCTTATACTCTATATACTTTGTATTAATTAAATATAAAAAAAATGAAATAAAACCCAGGGAAAAAACGTTATTAACAATTGTAATTGCGTTTTTTTAAATTAATATTAATCTTGCATACTTAATGTTTGTAATACCAGTATTAACTCCTTCAGTGACACACCCAACAACGTCTTTCGAGTGACGTACATAGTGAAGATAAGAAAATAAAGTCTAAGGTTACCGAATAAGCTCGTTGTAATTTAATTGTTATCTAAGTTCTTAATTGTATGTAAACATAAATATCAATAGTAGTTCTATGTTAGTAAGTACTAGAACAACAATTATGAAAGCGTTTTATGTAAATTCAGCTTTACTCGTTCTACTAAGAATCTGAGATTACAACATATTACCGTGTAAAACACAATAATGCTCACTAAAACAGTTTTTTTAATGTTGTGTTTAATTTTTGGTAAACACTAAGTTAAAAAACAAATATGTAATTTTTAATGAAGCTCTATCCCAACATTTATTAAGAGACTGTAAGTTAGGTAACCATTTCGAATTCAAAACTCCGTAGGCGTCTCACTAAAACCGTGGATGCCACAGCCCTAGATTTGATTTTTGTCAAACCACAGCTGTTGTTATCATGTTCGGCGTTAGTCTGTTGTTCGCAGCCATCTGCAGTGTTGCGTTCAACGATAAATGAACACTAAATTAAATTTTTTTTTTTTCTAAGTCAAATAAGTTTTATTGTTGTAATACACACGAAAAGAGTATTCTAGCGAGTGCTGGCGTATGACCGGCCATAGTCGCGTCGGTGTACAGTGTCCCGAGGAAAAAAATTTAGAACCTATAGTGCATTTTCTTTTATATTATTTGGGTTTAACTCGTACGTTCCCGTTGCTCCCAGTGTGGTCCCGGTTCACAAAACAAACCTCCCATCGAGTTACCCAGTGGGTCTAACTGACTTTTTGTCGAATAAACAAAAAAAAAAACAACAAAAAAAGAAATCATTCCCATTCATAAGTGAATAGAGCCCCGATTTGCTGTCAATTATTATTCATACACATCGCCGTAACGATCCCACACGGCCTCCAACCGTTAGCCGCGGTTTTTTTTTGTCCACATCCGGATAGTATTTTGTCAATGTACACTGCAATTATTATTAATACATAATATAATGTGTACTGGAACACGCAGTCGTTGCGCCATTATCATGACCGATCGTTGCCGGCATAATATATGTCGTTTACCAGAGTCCTCGATTATGACGGACCTATAA